AACATGCTGAAATAAAATACCTGTATTATTGGGAATTTATCAAATATGTCGGACACACTCTGTGGTTTAGGAATTTCCTGTAAAACAAGAAAATATTAGCATCACATGAACTTAGTCTCTCAAAGTGTACAGATAAGAGTAACTTATTTATATCATAACGTTACCGTTTTCTTCTGTTGTGGTTCAACCACATAGTTTATTGCGACTGTTGAGTAGCCAACTGAAATGTAGATTAACGTAAAGTTTATAACAGCAAGTGTTTCTCTAAAAGCACAGACGGTCTAATTAGGCTTTTATTTACCCTGATTTCAATATTTTGATATTCAATGGTTTTTACAAAATAACTAACGCTTCTGTTTATGATACTTACGATGAGCTGCTGTCTCTATGATGCTTTTGAGTCTGTTCTTGTCATTACTGCTGATGATGTTTAAATCCATAAACACCGACATCTTTCTTCCACTGAAACCGACCCGCAAGGTTTTAGAGCAAATTTATCGTTTATTTCTTATTACACAAATCTAACTCCCACATGCACTAACCATAGACAGTAAAAGAAAGGCACTAACACATTCGACTACACGCTGAAGCGTGAACATAGACAGTAAGAGCGTGAACCACTTCTTCTTCTTCTTTAATTACGGATTGCAAACAACTTTTAGGTGCCTACCGCCACCTACTGTACTGGAGTGTGTATCAGCATGTCATTTAATAATTAGTTAAATTCTATTCCACAACCTTGTGTCTTTTAAAAATTTAAATAGTGCCTCTCTCCTTCTGATCCCAGTATCCCTACCAGATTCCACTCCCGCCCTGTCTACTCTAGCGTGAACCACTATGGAGCTTTGTGGGCTTTGTAGTTCATATGCCATTCTTAAAGTGCATACCGCCACCTACTGCACTCGAGTGTCTAGCATCACATCAGTCAACTATAAACCCTATTAAGTATCTTATTAAGGTACACTCATATTCTGTTCACCAACCAGTGTCTTTAAAAAACTTAAATAATGTCGTCCTGGTGGTTCTTATCCCCTTTCCTTCTCCTTCTGTTCCCAATAACCCCACCAGATTCTATTCTCGCCCTGTCACAGGCTGTAACCTATCATGAAATATCTGGCTTTTCAACGCAAACAATATATATTGCAACATTACATGTTCAAATTTTTCTTTAATCCCACACTTTTCACACTTTTTACTATTCCTTTTTTCCCCAATAAAAACAAGGTGCTATTCAAACCTGAAATAGTATTTCCTCCCGCCTGGTCCTTTCCTTATAATTTTTATTTTATATATTTTGTATTTTATATATATATATATATATGACATTCCCTTCCTTAGTTGTCAGTTAACCAGAACTACAATAAATTTACTTCCTCTTTTGGAGGCGGAGCTACGTCTGTAGCGAGCTCTCCGAGTCCGATTGGTCCGATTTGAACAGAGAACCGCGACGGCAAGAAAGAAGCATGTTAGCAACGTAAACGGGATAAACAAAAGAAAATAGTATCAAGTAAGTGCAATTAGCGAGAATGAGAACACATAGGTAATATTTTTATATTCTTACATGTCATTCAAAATTGGTTCTTAGTTTAATAGGATAATATTTCAGTTAAGAGCTCAATTTAACTCGTCCAATGGCCGAAACGTCATATTGTTTTAATTTAGCTTGTACCTAGCCACTTAATTATTAGCTTGTATAAGTTAATCAGTATCATATAATAACAAAATGTTTAGCTAAACGTCAAACATTTTGATAGGGTTTTTCAAAATGATGGACTCGTGTTTAAATAACAAGTCTGAGAATGTTGGCTCTATAACGGTTGAAGACCTCCGGAAAGATCTCTTCGCCGAGTTCTCCAAATTATCAAGGGTAACTTTATGTATTATTTTCAGACAGAACTCATATTTAGTTCGTATCCGATTTTAAGGGTGTAATTATCATTTCATTTGGCATATGTTTCCATAGGACTCGGTATTGCTGGAAAAAGAGAATTTGCAGGTCTATCTCCGTGTACGTCCATTCACTACTGCAGAGAGAGCAGACGGAGAATCACAGGTCAGGTGCCTGTACATTTTGACAATATTTTATAATATTTCTGAGAAATTCTGTCACCACAACCTACATGTTCCAATACCCGTATAACCATCTTCAAAAAAAAAAAGTAAGGTTAACGTAAAAGCCTCATTCAATTTTATTGTATTGATCTGGGTTTGGAACAACATGAGGATGAGGACAGAATTTTAATTCTTTCATGAACCATTGTTCATTAATTTGTTATAATTGTAATCTGTACAAACAGGAGTGCATTTCAATTGAGCCTCCAGATACTGTGATTCTGAAAGCACCTAGAGCATCTCTGACAGCCAGACACAGTGAGAGATTTGGCCCACAGCTGGTGCAACGATTTCAGTTCTCTCAGGTATGATTGGCCACAGTCTCCTCTAGCATTTTAATTTATTGTATACAGGCTTTAAAAAATGTTAAGTGTTTTCTGATGTAACAATGTTTAATTCATATTTTAGGTGTTCGGTCCAGAAACAACACAAAGACAGATATTTGATGGAACAACTAAAAGCCTCGTGAAAGAAGTCTTGGAGGGGGGGAATTCCTTGATCTTTACATATGGAGTTACCAATGCTGGGAAGACATTTACCTTTCTTGGTAAGGGTTTTGTATGAGATGTTTTTTTTTTTTTTTTTTTATGTATGTTTTGCTGTCTACTAATATATTTAAATGTCTATTTATGCTACCTGTATGTTATAGGCCCTGAGTCAGATGGTGGAATTCTGCCCAGGTCATTGAATGTTATCTTTAACAGCATAGAAGGTAGAATTTATTCTCAAAATAACATCAAACCTCTCAGATGTGTTGACTTTACAAGACTCACTAAAGAGCAGCAGGATGAGGATGCTACAAATAAGAGAAACCTTCTTCGGCGATTTAAAGATGTAATTTTTTTTTTTTTTTTTTTTACATGAGTACAACATTTTAACATACCATTTTTTAGTACAGAGAAGTACATTACTCATACTCACATCTTGGCTGTTTCTTGATGTTTATCAGAATGACTCCCAGAAAACTCTGTCCAGCATGTCCAGCTCTAGTTGTTCATCTTTTGAAAGTAAGCATTTTACATTATTTTATGACTTTCTCCCTGCCTTTGAAACCGTTTTTGAGCATTGTGTCAGTAAATGTGAACTTGCACTTTACATTGATTTCTTCTTCCAGGCTCCACTTCTAGTGACACAAATGGGGACAGTGTCTGTTTGGATGAGACCTCTCATGTCAAATTCTCAGTGTGGGTCTCCTTTTGTGAAATCTACAATGAAAGCATCCATGACCTGCTTGATCTTGTTTCAAATGGGTCTCACAGAAGGAGCGTTTTGCGATTAGCCCAAGATGTTAAAGGCAACGCTTTTGTCAAAGGTAACCAAATTAACTTAAGACAAAAAGTTAGAAACAATAACTATCAGACTAAAAGTTCACTTGTTTGTGTAGCAAATCTACACGTGAATCATTGAAATAATAATTAAATAAATATCTACATTTCAATAATTAAATATAGGTTATTTACCAGGAAATGATCTTTATGGCTGTACATTTTGACATGCATGTTGTCTAAATATTTTTCATAGATCTAAAATGGTTTCAAGTTAACAGTGCAGAAGAAGCATTAAAAGTAATGAAAATTGGAAGAAAAAATCAAAGTTTCTCATCCACCAAGCTCAACAACATCTCAAGCAGAAGGTATTTCATTTTAAACCACTTTAGCGTTATTTTTTTTGTACTCTCGATATTTTTAACTCTCATTATCATGTTATTACGTTTTAAAGTGACTTAAAATTAAATTATAAATTTTTTCTATAGCCACAGTATATTTTCCATTCGAATCTTGCGGGTTGAAGATGTGGGTGTTCCTCGAATTCAGGCAATAAGCGAGTAGGTGACCTTAAACACACCACTGTTACTTTAATATAGAATCATTGATTTATTCATTAATTGATTTGTTTTTAAAGATTGTCATTATGTGATTTGGCTGGATCTGAGCGATGTGCAAAGACTCAGAACCGAGGTGACCGCTTAAAAGAAGCTGGAAACATCAACACTTCCTTGTTAACTCTTGGAAAATGCATCAACGCTTTGAGGCTCAACCAAACGCAATCCAAGTGAGACAATGCCCACTTTCTAACCAATTAATTTGTTTCATGGGCTGCATTAGATGGCAATTTCCTTGAACCTGAACTTGTATGTCTTTTCGTGCAGGTTTCATCAGCATGTCCCCTTTAGAGAGAGCAAGCTCACACATTATTTGCAGGGTTTTTTCTGTGGCCGTGGAAAAGCCTGCATGCTCATCAATATAAATCAGAGTGCCTCGATGTACGATGAAACCCTGAACGTCCTCAAGTTCTCAGCGGTGGCTCAGAAGGTCTGCAAGGACCATTCATCTTTTTTACACTGACAGCTTCAGAATGATTAAGGGCATTTTTAGATTCTTTGCTATTTATTTATTTTGAACTTTGACTTTGTTCCCTTTTAGGTAGTGGTCCTCAACCCTAAACCAGCTCCTAGCATTGTGCTCAAGAGATCTGCCAGAGATGTGTCCATGATAATCAATAATGCAGACAAGAAGGATTGGACCAGGAGAAGTTCACTCATGGGCTGGGAGATGAGTCTAGAGGATGTGCAAGAGGATGAAGATGATGAAGATATTGGTGAGGAAGATGTGGAGAGTGGCGATGAGAGCATGGAGGACAACACTGTGCTAGAGACTACGCAAAATCAAGAGCTGTGTGAGGTATTCAAGGTGTCTTTTCAGTTTTCATCAAGCGTGTTTATAGTTTCCAGTGTTGTTTTAAACTATATGAAATACTAATATGATATATTTGCCACAGCTTCAGGTAACAATTAAAGAGCTCAAAGAGAAGTTGTCCAAAGAGGAGTCTGAAAAATTAACTATGGAATCTCGTATTCGTGAAGAAGTTACTACAGAGTTTATGGAGCTGTTTTCTAATATGGAAAAAGACTACAAGTAAGTCAAACACTGTTTTACAGATCATAGTGGTGAACTGATGATATTTTCACATACTGTATGTAGAATTCAGATTGAGCTTGCAGAGATTTTTTGGCTTTTATAACATTCTTTTATTAGCATAATTGTTTTAGTGCACTATAACAATTCAGAGAGCACAGCACCGTCAATGGGTGCAATTCATTTTTATTGAAAATGCACTAATTTATGCTATTTTTGCTATTTTTCAATGTTTCAGTGAACGTCTCCAAAGAGAGAAGGAACTAGTTGAGGAAAGAGCAGAAAGGAGATTGGAGATACTGAAGAATCTGGTGAACAGAACAGTTGAGGAAATGGACGCTGTTAACACTGATGAGAATGCAGCAAAGGTGAATGCAGATAGTTGTAATAATATAAAAGATTAAGGACAAGTGCCATTAGCATCTACTGCTATAAGCCTTTGTGCATTTTCTGTAGAGCTGCACGATTAATCGTTAAAAGATTGTAATCTCTAGGGCTGTTTTCGACTAAGGATTTTCATAGTCGAATCTGATTCGTTAGATTTTGCCGTAGTCGACTGATAGTCAAACCTTTTTTTTTTTTTAGATAGGTCTAGCAGCTATATTTTTTCCATTTCAAACAAAAGAGATGGATGTATGCGCATTAGGCTATTCGTTCTGTGTTTTTTTTTTTTTTTTTTGCTTTTTTTTCTAAACAGTTAGGCTATGTTTAGGTAGTATTTTTCATGTTTTTATCACGCAAACATGTTTTTGATGCGGTGGTGAGCTTGTAACTTGTAACTTAACGCTTTAGCCTAAGTGTAGCAGAGGCGCTGCCGAAAATAAAAAGCTGTCACAAAGAACAAATATAGCAAGGAGACATTTTAATTGTTTATTAATAAAGATGAAGTTGACGATGCTGCGCGATCTTCGCATAGTGTATGCGCCAGAGAGAAATGCACAGTTCATTTCATAAGCACCCAGATAGCAAACTGACATTGAATCAACGTGGAAATATGACATCGAAACAACGTTGATCTAACATTGTTTTGCTCATCGAATTAACGTTGAACCAACGTCAGACGCGTCATTCTTTCAAAACTAACGGAAAATCAACTTGAAATCAACGCGTTGTTTTAACGTTATGAAAGCAAACCAATTTTCGATTTTCTTTTAGCTTTGAAGAATGCCGCGTCTGACGTTGGTTCAACGTTAATTCGATGAGCAAAATCAACGTTGTTTCAATGTCATGAGAGACGTCGTTTCCACGTTGATTCAATGTCAGTTTGCTGTCTGGGCAGAGAGCATTACGTTTTCTTTCGTTTTGAATTGTTCTATTTACAAGTAGACATTTCAATATAGATATATGTTTCAGGTCTGTGGAGTAGACTACTTATACGCTGAGTTGCGGTAGCTATATTTATGAGACGAGCTCCAGTTCACACATCGGTGCCTCCAACGTGCCTCCGTGCCTTGATTATCAGTAGCCTAATTGTCTGCTTTTCCTTCTTATTTATTAAATCCAGACAATTGGTTGATGAAACATTAATTAAAATCAAGAAAAAAATTCTAAAAAAACAAAATTCACTTTAAAGAAAGGCTTTGTGTTTTTCTGTTTGAGGTCTGTGAAAGTTTTAAAGCAGTCTTTAAGTGCTGCTTCAGAGCGCTCGTGTCCGTCGGAGAACTGTCACGTCTGTAACATTGTTTTTTCCTCTGTGAACACGAAAAAAAATATTTTATGTTTTGTGGAGAGCCAACCCTTCCTCATCTGATTTGAGCAGTGTAATTCACAGAATTACAAAAAATATATTTTGCCTCCTAAAACGTAAAGATTTTTTGTCACGCACGAATCCTTGTCTATTTCAGGCTAAATATAAAACGCATGTATACCGTATTTTCCGCACTTTAAGGCGCACCGGATTATAAGGCGCATAAGATACTGCAGTCAAATGTTTGACTGGGTTTGCGTTATGAATCCAGATGTGCTGGGAATGTAACGAGTGCGCGGCGTCGGAGGTGAGGCGTTTATTAATGTGAGCGCACTGGGGCGCGTAACTTACATTCGCAGCCTGACTCATATGAGTATTCAATGTGCGGCGGCTCGCTGACAGCAACGGCTGGCTGTTTAGAATGAGACGACCCTGTTACTGTGAACGGGGAGCGCTTGATGAACATTCTGCGAGCAGCGCCGGGGACAGTGTGTCTTGTTCTTGTGTCTGTTAAGAGTAAGCGCTCGTGAGCGGGAGACACACACAACCTGATTTATACAAGGTTAAATTGGCCGTGTAGTATTCGACTATAACGTTCATAGTCGATTCAGACCTTTCCGAATCGAATCGTCGAATCCTCGACTATTCAAACACCCATGTGATCTTCCTAAATGGCAACAACGAAAGTACCCAGATTATGGCGTGTTCGTACCGTAGGAACTAGGGGTGCACGATATTGACAAAAATGTGATATTGCGATATCGATAATGAATATTGCGATATCGATATTAATTTCGATATTTTTAAACGGATGTAAAACTACAAAAGTTATTGGAAAACGCATCAAAAAGATTAATAAATAAAACAAGTTTTCTTACAACATAAGATTTATTTCAACTGACAGTAATATTGGACTGGTACAGCATTAATAAATAGGCCTAAATAATATGTCAACAGAACAGGACATGTTAGTTGTGTACACTACAGTGTAAAAGATAATAAATAAATAGCAAGTCTACAGAACACACTATGCAACATAAACGCCACTATATGTGTTTTCTTTGACCGGACAGCTATGACCGTGAAAAGACCAGATGTAAATGCCCCGTGAAACGCATTCGTGACGTATTTGAATCTAATCGCTCAAACCACTTCAGGAGGTGGTCTGGGCCGCATTTCAGTTGAAACTGGACAAATGTAAATGCATCTCGTTATTAAATAAACCACAAAATGTACTCCTTCCAAAAACGCTAAAAAATGAGAACGTTACAGGCTCGTCATGTTATGGCTAGATATGACGACGCGCGCGACTGCAACACGCATCACCGCAGATGAGCAGCTGCTGTGAACATTTACTATCAAAGTGAAAGTAAGTCGCAGACGTTTTTCACAGCTATCTTCATTAAAAGTAAATAAACGAACTGATCTTATTTTACCTGATGATCATAAAACGCAGCTCATAACTGTTGCTTTCGGTGACGTGCACTCCATTAAATCTGCATATAGCGCGGGAATTGAAGATCGTATTTTGATAAATCAGATAGCTATCCGATCAGTGAAAACGCATGAAGTTGCCAGGTGGACCGTGGCCTGATGTTTATACTTGTGCGCTGGTGTGCGCGTCGAGCCGCCGGCAAGTGTGTGTGTGTGTGGGACTGTGGTTGGAGAGCAAGGGAGAAGTGAGAGAGTGACGGCGGTTAGCTTTGGAGCGAGTAGCGACTTTATATTGAGAAAAACAAAGTGTCTCCCCCGTTCTTTCTGACCACTGTGGGAAATCTGTAGCATGAAAAGTTAAACCTCTCTTGATTTAATATTGTTTATGGAGAAGGAGAATCAGGAAATGAGTCGGGGGGAAATGCAACGGTGCATGTCGGACCAGACGCATCATAAACAAAATATTGCGTAAATATCGCGACACTTTCGATATGGATATCGAGCAACGTGATATCGCGATAACGATATTGATTCGATATATCGTGCACCCCTAGCTAGGAACTAGGAACGTTTTTACTTCTAGGAACACTTTTTGGAGGAAATAATTAGGGCTGTTGTCAACCAAAGAAATCCTTAGTCGACCAAAGTCTTGTCCTGCCCAACGATTAGTCGACCAAAAAAAAAAAAAGACGGGATGTTTTGATTGAACATTTTTTAACAATTGTCATAGATCATTTATAAAATAACAACGAATACATAAACCTATAATAATAATACAATTCTTTGAAAATTAAGTGATTTTTTTTTTTTAACTGCAAAGTGAGGAGCTCTGTCCTAGGTCTGCAGTGACAATCACAATCACGCACCTGGCCACACCACACGCTACAAAAAAATATAACTGCTATCTGCCACAGTGAAAAATCCTAACAAAAGCTCTCGTTTATACAGGCTGTATATTCTTCTTTACTTTCAAAGCTATGGGTTAACTTTCGTCCAGCTGATCTAGGCATTTTAAAACAAAAACTCAAAAACCCAAATAGCCTACAAAACAATCCTAATAATAATAGGCTGAATTGTAGGACCGCAAATAGGTTTGTTTTCATTTTGTTACATTATTTAGGCTATTTTCAAATGTGTAAAGTGTACAAATAAAAACAAAAACATCAAGAAAACAATCTATTGAGTCAGCATGATAAAGCCGTTAAGGGACCGCTCACGACCGCTCAAGTTCAATTTCAAATATAGGCGCGTGGTGTGCGGTGTGGAAGCAAATGCGTCCACGCCGCATCATGATGATAACATATAGTGTATAAAAACATAAAAACCAAAATAAGTAGTGTTCTAACTGAATGAATACAGCTAAACAACCTATATCCCTTACTGAGCGCGAAGCAGCGCAGCCAGCTACAGGTGCAAACCGAATGTTCTACGTGTGTGCGCTAAACTGTGGCGCTGTTACAAAATAGCCTAAATTGAAGCATTTAAAGTTGGGGATAAAACATAGGCTAATTATATTTATAATACAGTAATATATAACTGCTTAAAAAGGAATTACATATCAAGGAGTAAATCATTGAAAATTTCTTTCTTTTGGGAAAAAAAAAAAAAAAAAAATGCAACTTGTCGACCAAGACGACATCGACCGAATTGACAGCCCTAGAAATAATTTAGCTCCTACTTCAGAGTAGGGTCTAAACCAGCTCTATAGGAACTACCAGTTTTTTGGCGAATGCATGCAAAACACCAGCACCCACCATTTGAAAAAAACAAAAAAAAAAGATGTGTAAACACACAGATTATAGACTATATACTTACTCCACAAACATGGAAGATAGTGATAGATGGCTCTTAACTTATAAAACTTTTATATATATATAAAATATAAAACAGTTATAAAATATATAACAGATATATATATATATATATATATATATATATAGTGAAATTTTTGAATGCACAAGGATTCTGACAACAGCCAATGCTCCACACGGAGATCGGATCTCACTATCATCGAGTGCATCTGAAATAATATGAAGAAACAGAAAAATGTATGATTATTATCCATGTTGAAAACAGTTTTTAACATTTTTATTTCAGGATTCTTTGATGAATAGAAAGTTCAAAAAAACAGAATTGATCTGAAATGGAAAGCTTTTGTAACATTAATCACTACCATTCAAAGGTTTGGGGTCAGTAAGAATTAATTTTTTTATTTTTGGGGGAAAGAAATTAGAAAATACTTTTATTCATCAAGGATGAGTTAAATTGATCAAACGTTACAATAAAGACATTTATAATGTTAGAAAAGATTATATTTTAAATAAATGCTATGCTTTTGAACTTTTGATCATAGAATTTTGGGGGGGGGGGGGGGAATGGTACATGACTGTTTTCAACATTGAAAATAATTTATGTTTTTTGAGCATAAAATCAGCATATTGGAATGATTTCTGAAGGATCATGTGCCACTGAAAACTGATGTGTAATCAGCAACAGTAATGATGTTGAAAATTCAGCTTTCAAATTACATTTTAAAATATATTAAAATAGAAAACAGTCATTTTAAATTGTCATAATATTTCACAATATTACTGTTTGCCTTTTTTTTTTTTTCATCAAATAAAGCAGCCTCAGAAGAGACTTCATTTAAAAACATACACAATCTTACCAATCTAAAACTTGACCGGTAGTATGTATGTATGTATGTATGTATATATATATATATATATATATATATATATATACATATATATATATATATATATATATATATATATATATATATATATGTGTGTGTGTGTGTGTATCACATCAACCAATCAGAAAAACGCTTTGGCCAATACCGATATATCAGTCGACCACTAGTTTATAGCTGTTATTTCTGTTGTTTGCCTCTATCATTAAGTTAATTTAGTATCATTTACTTTATTCCCCACAAATGAAAAGTGGGGAATTCTACGGTATCAAGGCACACATTTCAACACGATATATATATATCTGTTTATGAAAGAAAAGACTAAAAACAGACATTCATTTGAAAATATTATGTTTTCCTTCTCAACATTCTAGGATGCTAAGATTGAGCTTTTGGACAGCCTGATTGAAGTTATGCGAGGTGATCTAGCTAAGATAAAGGGAGATGCAGAAGCAGTACACATGTGCCTGACGAATGTCCCTGAATCACCTGGAACAGTCAGTCGTCTGAGGACACAGCTGGAGGAGATGAAAGAGGAGCTTCTCAAAAGCCAACAACTTCTCAGTCTTAAAACAAAAGGTGTATTAATTTGCCATAAAGGGGAAAGCTCAATATTTGATGACATAAGTCTAATTATTTTTCTCTTTTTTAGAGTTTGAAGCAATGTGTGTTCAGGCACAAAAATCAAATGATCAGCTTCTCCAAGCAAATGGGGTAATATGAACTAAAGTTTTCTTTTAAATATCTGAGGTTATTGTAAATGAACAATTTATATGGCTTCTGATGTGTGTTGATATTTTTGTTTGTCTTTTTAGAATTACGAGAACCAGAAAGTGAGATGTCAGGAACTCATGTCAATCTGCCAGGAGAAAGATGACATGGTCTCTGTATTACAGACTGCTTTGGACCAAAATGTGGAGGCAGCCACTAAAGATGTAAATGTATTTTACTCTACCATTATTACACTTCCTTTATTTGAAATCTTTCTAAAGAAATCAATCTTACTGACCCAAAACCTTACCAAGTTTTACAGACATGGTCACTGTAAACTATCAGTGTATTTAAAAGTGTTGTTTGAAAATTCTTAAATTCTCCCGTTGTGTTCTAAGGAAAAGAAAAACTTTCTTTTAACTTTAATCAGGTCATACAGAGTTGTACATTTGAACTGTAATGACCCATGATTTTTCTTTTGTTTTACATATACAGAGGGCCTTAATTAACAACATCAAAGAAGAAATCCTACATTTTAGAAACAACTGCAAGTGTTTGCTGAATGAAGACTCCGACCCTCGAGGGGAAGAAATGACAAGTCAAGAATCTCAACATCTGCAAGAACTGAAAATGAAAGATGACCTGCTGAATGAACTTACACTTGAGAAATGTTCACTTGAAAAAACAGTGTGTGATCTCACTGATAGACTGGCAGAGCTGACGCATGCACATGAAGCCACTGTGGCGATGGAGAGAGCAGAGGTCAACAAAGTCACAAATGAGAACAAGGCTGTTGCCAATGAGTTACATGTACTTCAGCAGTCAGCCAATGAGATGAGCTCAAAGCTCAAAACTCTCCAGATGGAATTGAGCACTCAGACAAATATGGCCAGTGACCTTTCAGAAAAGCTTGACACAGCCAGAGCTCTGATTAAGGAACATCAAGCTGAGTTTTGCTGTCAGTCCAAAACCATTGAATCCTTAATGACAGAGACAGGTAATTTGCATCAGGAACTCAGTGCCTGCCAGCTCTCACGTGACAAAAAAGAAGATGAATGCATGAGGATGGTGGAATTATCTCATGAGAACAGCAGACAGATCAATGCCTTGGAGCAGGAGGTCAGTCAGACCAAAGCGAACGTGTGCCAGCTGAAAGAGCTCTGCAATCAGCTTAAAAATGAGCGAGATGCCCAGGCACAGGAATATCAGAGCCTACTGAGCCGATATGAAGCTCAAAAGTTGATCATGGCCCAAAAAAGAAGCAACTCTGAGCTGCTGAAAGAGCTAACCACTCTGAAACATCAGAAACTGAGGATGGATGACCAAGAGCAAGACTCCAGAGATGATTGCTGGAAAACTCTGCAGGACAAACTCATGCAAATGCTGAGAAAACTGAACCAACATGAGGATGTTCTGAACGTAGTGAGAGCAATTGTAGAGAATGAGATAACTAAGGCAAGAGATGAGGCCAAGAGAAGATTAGATGCGATGGAGAAAGATCTGTCTCATAAAGATGCAGAACTAGAGACCAAAACTAAAGATCTTTTGAAGTATGTCTTATCCAAACTTTCTGATAACACAAAAAAATAGGTCCTCAATTCTGTTGTTTGATATGCACTAGACCTTGCATGACTACTCTTTCTTTTCAACTATTTACAGTGGTGTGAATAATTTTGGACACCCATGCTAAAGTTGCCTAAAAAGAGGAATAAAAAAATCATCTTTTGGATATTGATCTTAATGCCTTAATTAGAAAAATGAGGAAAACTCCAACCTTTAAGGACACAAATTTTCTTTGTGAATGAATAATGTATCATAAATAAATAAATGTTTTTCCTTAAAATACAGGGTGCATAAGTCAGGGCACCCCTATGTTAAATTCCCATAGAGTCAGGCAGATTTTTATTTTTTTTATATTTTTTTTATATTTCATGTATCCAGGATAATATGCATCCTGATAAAGTTCCCTTGGCCTTTGGAATTAAAATATCCCCACATCATCACACACCTTCCACCATGCCTTGAGATTGGCATGGTTTTACTTCAGTTAGCCTAATAGCTGGTTTGATTTGCATTGAAAGATGATCTTATGGAAAGTACCCCATGCCAATCTCTAGGTGTGGTGGAAGGTGTGTGATGATGTGGGTCTATTTTACTTCCAAAGGCCAAGGGAACTTTATCAGGATGCATATTATCCTGGATCCATGAAATAACTGGCTTTTAAAAATAAAAATCTTCCTGACTTTATGGGAATTTAACATAGGGGTGCCCTGACTTATGCACCCTGTATTTTAAGGAAAAACATTTATTTATTCATGATACATTATTCATCCACAAATAAAATTTGTGTCCTTAAAGGTTGGAGTTTTTCTCATTTTTCTAATTAAGGCATTAAGATCAACATCCAAAAGATGATTTTTTTATTCCTCTTTTTAGGCAACTTTAGCATGGGTGTCCAAACTTATTCACACCACTGTATTTCTAGCATGGAAATGAGAAAAATGGTTTAAGGGACAACAGGTGGTCTGAATGACCTTTTGGTTTTTTTGCAGGTCGAGAGAACTTGTGACCGATGGACTTAATAAAATCAAGACCATGAGTTGCAATTTGCAGCAGGTGGAGAAGGAGCGATCTGATGTCAGTGATCAGTTATGTAAGGCTAACTTGCAGAAGGAGCAGTTAGAGAAACAGGTTGGTAAAAAACTTTTGTCCATTGCTAGTATGCCTAATGTGATTTTTAATTAGTTTTTTTTTAAACAGTGCTTTTTTATTCCCACAGATTTTAATCTTGAGTGAAGAAAACAAAATGTTTCTGCAGAAACTATGTGAAGCGGAGGAGATGAGGGATCAGGCTGGACACAGTTTGAGCTGCACAGAGCAAACTATTGATCCACTGCAAACTGTGAGTGCTGCTCTTTCCATCAGCTTTGTTCAGTTTGTGATGCGATCAGGTCTTAGATGCTGGATTATTCCTCTTCCTTTCATCACAGGTGCAGTCAAACCATGCAATAGAAGAAGGAAACACACTGCCTTTCAAAACAACCTGCCGTGGTAACCTATGTGTCTTTTCATTTAGACCATTTTTTTTCCTCAATACTATTTGGTGTTACAAAATCGGCTTACGTTTTGTCCTTAATAAGATTGATTTTGGTTCCAGATCTTTTGGCAGAGCAGAAACAGATTGAGGAGACATGTGTTAACTCAAATAAAGATTGCACACAGACAGATGAGGGGGAATTGCTGGAGGCCAGGCTGAATGAGATTGAATCCATAACTGAAGGTGACTGAGTCTGTTCTAATTGTAATCCCTATAAATCTCTTCTAGTCAACACACTGAGAAGTCAGTAAGATTCAGTGTAGGTATTTCAAAATACTGTTAATAACAGAAAAGTTTTTCTTCAGTATTTGCAGGATTCATTTGTAATTATAAAAATAAAATCTGTTAAAATTAAAAAGTCAATATTGCTGATTAAATAATATTAAGTATTGACAGTATTCCTCTTTAGTTATAATATTAGAATATTTACTTTTGACTTTTTCTCATCACAGAAACCTGAAAATAATTGTGTCAAATAATTCTTAAGCAGTACAAATTGATAATGAAAAGAATAATAGTAAGAAATGTTTATTTAGCTCTAAATCAGCATATTAGAATGATTTTAAATCATGGATTGGAATTGGTATTGAGAATTGTAAAAATTCCCTGGTTTTGGTATCTTGTACTGAAATTCTGGTTAAATGGTAACACTACTTCAGTTACATTTTAACAACGTCTCATCTGTAACTGTGATACAGTCTGAATCATCATCACACTGGCCCTCATTTATCAAAAGTTGCGTGCACCAAATTTCCAGCGTACACCCAAAACCATGGTGAGATTTATCAATATGGATGTTGGTGTACGGCAAGCTCAAATCCTACGCCAGCTCAGGAGGTGGTATGCAAAAAAAAAACAATTCCTCAAACAACACCACAAAATGCAAACTAAAAGATATTATATATTATGACCCACTGTAAAAAACAACAACAGAGTAATTATAAACTTCAGTGTTTATTTTTGTGCAAAATGGAGTTTAATTTGTGTGACTTTACCAAAGCATTTGATTTGTAGGCATATGTATTCCTTCAGTTGCGAGCCTGTGGGCTTTGCCTGACATTTCAGGGTCAGGCCCGGCAGGTGCGCACGGACTTGGTTCAGTAATGAAAGGCTTTCAATGACCAAAAACTATTTCAGACTGACAAAATCGTCTCTTCTCAACCGTCTTCAGATGGTTCAAAACGCAGCAGCCCGTCTCCTTACAAATGTCCATAAACATACTCATATCACCCCCGTCCTCTGTTCACTTCATTGGCTCCCGGTACGTTTTAGGGTGGAGTATAAGGTCCTCATGTTTGTTTTTAAGGCCATTAATGGTCTGGCCCCGGCATACCTCTCTGAGCTGCTCACTGTATACCAACCTGCCAGAACCCTCCGCTCCTCTCAGAGCACCTCTTTGATTATCCCCAAGTGTAGATGCAAAAAGTTTGGAGGCCGATCTTTTGCCATCCAGGGTCCTACTTTATGGAATGCCTTACCTGTTACCCTTCGTAACATTGCTGTGTTTAGTGTTTTTAAATCACAATTGAAAACATTTCTTTTCAGGAAGGCTTTTAACACGTAATCATTTGTTTTGTTTTTAGTGGTTGTGTTAGTTATTTTGTTAACTGCTTTGATTAGCTTTATCTTGCAATTTTTATATACTGTTATCTTTTTATGTATTTTATGGAAAGCGCTTTGTGCACCTTTCTGGGTGTTATAATGGCGCTATATAAATAAAGATTGAATTGAATTGAATTGAAAAAAATAATATAAATGACATTCTTCTGCCGGGGTTCCTGCGGATCCTTAAAAAGCCTTACAACAGAAATGAATCAACACTGAACTGACTCAAGCTGAACAAAGGCATTTTTTTAGAGCTGCTGTACAGACGAAAATAACTGTTTTCAGAATGCTTATTAATTATTATTTATTTAAACAACACCACAAACATCTCTTTGTCCTTCTCAGATCATGCTAAACTGCAGGAAATGTATCAGAAACCAAGTGTGTGTCTCTCTCATAAACCCCAGCAAGAGGAACGGAGAGCCTGCAGACCTGCAGAAAGCACAAAGGTAAGAACCTGGAAGTCTTTAATCTCTCTGAATTTTCCACAACTGGGTTTTGCCAGCACTAGAAAGATTTCTTTTGATGTTTCAGCAGCTTAATGAGGAGCAGGATGATGATAAGCAGGGAAAGGGGCAGGATGGAGCAGCCATGGGGGAAGAGGAGAGAGCAGCCCAGGCAACAAGGCAACTAGAAAGCGACCAACAGGACAGGCTGGAGCTGGTAATAGGATCAGCATTTCCATTTCTCTCACCCTTCTTCGTTATTTTCTTTTTTTGCAGGCTTGAGGGCAGGATTTAGCTCAGAATAGTAATTTATTTACACTGCAGGTTTCAGAGTTAATATCACTTCTGTGATTTGAGTGACCTGCCAACAGGAGGTATGACAAGACTCTAGCAGGACAGTAATGGTACAGCAGGAAAAATGGAATGTGCAGAACTTTTTTTTTTTTTTTTTTTTTTTTCAATTTCTTAAACAACTAATTCACTAATCAGTCTTACCTAAACCCTGTATAAATAAACGGGGGACAGGGTCATCTGATGAAATTAAGTTGTGTACTTGTCACTTGTGTTCAATTTTTTATTTTATTTTTTGCAGTGGATAGGAATGCAGAGGTCTTGAGTGTGTTTTTAAAAAAATGTTAGGCTATTTTAAACTGTATTTTAAGCTATATTTAAAAACAGGAAAATATATTATAAAAGCCCAGTGATGTTCATCTCAATGTGTATTGCTGTAGGGGCAGTACTTTAAATAGCATAACTTCTTCAAGGGCATATTACTGTGCAATACTTGCAATTACTGTGTGTGTGTGTGTATATATATATATATATATATATATATATGAAGAGTTCAGATGCAAAAGCCTCTAAGTGCCATTTGAAATTTTCTTCTAGAATGATAATTTTTATCAAGCTTGTATATTTAAGTTCAGTGATTTCACTTAAATGGCAATGATAATTACCTATTAATTGTTATTTAAGTGAAATTACTGAACTTAAATATACAAGTTTGATAAAAATCATCATTAAAGAAGAACATTTTCAATGGCATTTAGAGGCTTTTGCATCTGAACTCTTCATATATATATATATATATATATATATATATATATATAGGAAAAAATCTAGATAAACTACTCAATTCAGCTAGTTGTTTGATTGGTTCATATCTTAAAAAGATATTGCATTCTAAATTAGTACTGTATGCCAAAGTTTGTATGTTCTTAATATCCAGGTGATTTGATCCCATAACACAAAATTATAAATGGAAATTTTAAGAAAACAAATCTAATCATTTAAATGATGTAAATTTTTAATACGTGGGTCGTTATGACTGACGTTCTCAACTACTCTCTATATTAGGCTACTTTCTCCCGACCCACAACATTTATGTTTCGTCCCACTCCCTTCCGCAAAAAGAGTTTTTTTCTGTACCTTCAAATACTTTCAATTTAGCCTACGTGTCGCCTCCATACACATCAGAATAAATGCTCCTTATAAATGATTTGTTATTAAGGCATTAACACACAAACCATTGTTATAACATTTAAAGCAAGCAGCTCCTGTGTGCATGGTTTGGCATGACTGTGTGCGATCTCACACATCTGTTATTATCAATGAATCTTTCATAATATATACACTTTGTTTGTTGTAATTAGAGGATTTGCCAGCATACAGAATTCAGCACTGAACAAAAAGTCTGTTTTGAGCGATGAGGGAAGTCTATTGTAAATACTTCTAATTGGCAGAGTGCATTACCACCCACGTTCCCTCTAATGGCGTATACAAAAAAAATCACAATAATTGAGAATTTTTTTTTTTCACTAGTCATTTCAAGTCCGAGTCAAGTCTAAAGTCAAGTCAAGTCTTTTCAGAGATCTAGTCAAGTCTCAAGTCCAGAAAATTGCGACTCGAGTCAAGTCATATGACCTATTGACCTAAGCCTAATAATTTCAAAATGACCAAATACTGCCTCATTGATCATTCTGACCAGTATAACAGCCTATCGCTAGCTAAGATGTGTGATTTTTAGAATACTTTAAAATACTTTTATATCAATATTATTTTGTGGTAGTGTTATAGTATAATATTAAAACATATTTTTCTCTTCCTCACTTCTCTGCATACTGATTACAGGAAATGTTAAAGCTTCAGCTGGCTGAAAAGCAAGATACCATTGTAAAATTACAAAGGGAAAAGGGGGATTTTGCTGCTACTTTTAAATCTGGTTCCCAGAAAATTGACAGACCCAAACAGACTTCAAACGTGAAGACAAAGAATGAAGGCGATTCATTTAGTCCAACACAAGAGGTCAGTAGATTGATATTAATGCAAAATGCATGCAGCTGAAAATAATTATTTACGCATGCAAAGATGGAAATAGTTCTGGTCTGTATGAAAATTGGTTACTGTGCATAATATGTGTTGGTATAACTCAAAGCAGGTTGCAGTACAAGACTCCTCTGTCCTTTCCACAAAGAGTCTCAGAGATGAACGCTTCCCGAAGCCTGAGCTAGAAATCAGCTATACACCTCTTAAACCTGACCGAATGAATGTCAGGAAACCGGGAGAAGAAGAGTCTGTCACAATCAAACTCCGACGTACAGCCAGAAAGAGAAAGAGCCCAGACATGCAGGTATACAGATACCATTTCAAAACCCTTTGTTGTGATTTCCTAAACAATTCAGGTTTGACTGTTCAGGAATACTTGGAAATGTCAGGAAAATTCAAGACATTTTAACATTTGATATTTCTATAGTGTGTGTGTGTGTGTATATATATAATTTATTTATGCTCAGTTCAATTTCTTAAGATAAAATGTACCTTTTGTGAGTGAGGTCTCTAGGTCTCTATAAAATGATTTTCATCACATAAAAATGTCATGAAAAAAATCATGGAGATTCACTAGTTAGACCCTTTAACTAGTCCTGCAATCATTTCCTAATTGTATATTAATGTATTTTTCATAAAGCATAGAATTTAAACCTATTCATTGATTTACATTTTTATAATGATTTATCATTATAATAATTTCCATAGTTAATTTCCATAGATTTAGTAATTTAATGATGATTCAATCCAACGTTTCACAATAAAAATAATGCAAATGAGTTTACTTTTGTTAAAGAGACAGATCTGTAAATAAATTAGCTGTGAAGGAGGATCTTTGTGTTGCTGCTACTGTTGTGATAAACTGAAGTTTCCAGTCTATTTAGAGACTGGATATCTGGATATTAGATATCACATCCTTTTCAAGTTTAATGGCTTTAATAGCATTGTTAAAATTGTCAGATCGGAATTTGCTGCACGTTTATACACAAAAATCCGCACAAGATCTGATTTTTATTTTTTTTATTTTTTGCCTCCGATCTGAGACACTTCCAAATGAGGTTTTAAATCAGATACACATCAGATATTTGGACATGATCTGACCTATGTCTAAACGTGTGCATCTGATTCCTCTTTGAATTCCAAGCCACAAGGCAAGGGTGACATGTTTGTCCACAATGAAAGCTTTTTAATGTTGTATTATGAAGCAGATGTGGCTGTATGCACTTACTCGTAGCTTTTTTATTGAGATGGAAACTTATTAACCCTCCTGGCTTCTTCGGTCAAAAATGACCGAAAACTGTTACGTTTTGAAATGTTCAATTTTTTTGCTTGATTCGATCGGGCTGAAACTTGGTGACTTTTGTTGTATTACCTATATGAACACACAAAAAAATCAAGGAGATGATTCTGATTTGTTAAAGGGTTGTAAAAAAAAAAAGTCACACTTAGCTTCCTCCCGGTCCAAAATGACCGACATAGGAAATGAATGGGAAATACGAAAAAATAGGAAAACTCAGAGAAACTTTTGGTGGTACAAGCTACAGATCAGCAACTGTGCAGAAAAAAAGTGTACAGCAATGAAGGGGTGACACTCTAGAACATCAAGAGTGCAAATAAGAACACCCCCCACACACACACACACGCACACAAACACACACACACAGGTAAACTGGCAAGACTGCACCAGCAAATTTGTAGAATATGAAAAATAAAATCAATAAATGAGAAAAAAATCTTGCTCAAATGCGCACTCACACACACACGCACACAGACATGAGAAATCATGTCTAAACCAACAAAAAGAATCAAAAAGCCTTTCTATGTATTTGAATAGGAAGCTATAGGCAGCCTACAGGCTGTACAGGACATTGCACACATGTAACTATTTTTTAAAGCCACTAGGTGGCGCTCTTCTACTTGAATTTTTTTTTTTATTAGCTGACACTCTATTTTGATGTGAAATGTTGTATTTATTGAAAAAAATAAAAAAATATATAAAATGTATATTAATTCTAATGGAAAAAATAGCTCATAAAAATTATATAATTAATGCAAAGTATCATAAAAAATTCTAAAAATTCTAAATAATAATCATAAAATATTATAGAACAAAAATATATTTGAATGGTTATCCTGGGAAGAAGTAAACTAAAATTTTAAGTAGGGCTGGGCGATATATCGAGTATGTACGATGTATCGTTATATTTTTTGAAACGATATGGAATGAGGCAATACCGTTTATATCGATACAGTAGTTTGATATGAGCACATCTGAAAAATAGCGGAGGTTGCAGTGTGAGCTGCTGCAGTGAAAGTAGCTAGGCTACATAGTACAATTTGTCCTAAACATGACACAAGCTTATATTAATTGCGTCAAAATCACTTTGATATAGTTAACAAGTTTAAGGCAGCTTGCCGCCCTGTCAAATGCTCTGACAGACACTGTTGCTGACTAACAGATATACTTGCGCTGTTTAATGCGTTTGAGATGTGGTGCTTTCCTCAGTGCTCAACTTACATTTCACAGGTATATTCTCCATCTGTAAATGTTAGAAAGTAAAGCAAATATGTCCATTTCACAACAAATATGTCCATGTCAGAAGAGGACGAGCTTCTGCAAGTGAATCTCCGCTAAAATTCATGCTTCCTTGAACGAGCGCTGGCGCGCGCATGCGCGTGAATAGTACTACGTAGTACGCAATAATTCTGACTAAAATAAACATATTGCTAAAATATTTGTTGTTGGAGAAAATAAATGTGCCATATGTGGAATTTTAAACCTACAAGTATATATTTTTAATGAAAGTGAAAGTGATTATAATGGGGTAATCAAATGCAGGCTAATATAATTAGTTTGTGCGTTTGTTTCTGTTTCTGTTTTTATTTTCATTTTTAGTTTAGCTTTTAGTCAATATAAAAACAAAAGCTTTTTGCACATAATATATTGCATAGCCTATATTATATTTGTTTCCATATCCTTCAATATCAACATTGTTTGTAGGATATCATTGGGCCGAATGTGAATATATAAATATATATATATATATTTTAAATATAAAGATTTTCTTTATCTAAATAGAAAACGTAGAAAGTACCGAGATATATATCGTATATCGCCATTTGACCAAAAAATATCGAGATATGATTTTTTGGCCATATCGCCCAGCCCTAATTTTAAGGCTTCGTCCGTTTTTGACCGGGAGGAAGCTAAGTGTAACCCATTTACGAAGAAGCCCAGAGGGTTAAAAGAAAGAAATTGCAAGCACATGTAAATATTCAAGAGTTGGTTTTTAACCTCTGCCCCGTGAGTTTTATAAATATAACAGCTCTATTAGGCTATTCACTATCTATCTATCTCTCTCTCTCTCTCTCTCTCTCTCTCTCTCTCTCTCTCTCTCTCTCTCTCTCTCTCTCTCATTTTCCTGTATATATCCATTCTGTCACTTTTTGCGCTGCAAAACATCCATGATAGCTTTTATCTTGTCCATTCTGGCAAATAATCATGGCCACAACATGAGTTTAAGAAATAATTTTAACCAAAACCAGAGGGTCTACCATGTGCACAGTAAAGCAATTACTGACAATCATTTTGGACAGGAATTAATGTAAAAACAGATATCGGATACCAGTCGTGTCTAAAGTGAATGTAAACGGTCGGTCCAAAAAATCAGATATGGTTAAAAGATCTGTGCATTAAGACTTGTAGTGTAAACACAGCCTATGAATCAAATTGAATTAATCACATATGCTAACACATTAACTTTAACTTCTTTACATGTAATGCTACACAAAGTCATATAACTTGTATTGTATACGTTTGTTGTTCTAGAACTCGGTAGAGTCAGAAAATCGGAAAAACCGACGGCTAAAGGTTAAAAACTGGGATGACATGCAGTCTGTTGAGGTGATTATTTTTTTTTTATATATCTTTCTATTAATACGGTTTACCTGTGACATCTTACATCTGTCTTGTGTAATATTTTTTTTGCTCCTTACCAGACTCCCACTGTGCAAGGAAAAAAGGTGAGTCAATTAAAGCAGAAAGACTCTCCTGCCAGCCTGAAAGGTAAAAAGGATGGAGCCCTCCAAAAGATTGGTGACTTCATCCAGAGCTCTCCAACCCTCTTTGGAAGCAAAGGTCAGCTCTGGCTCTTAATTTTACACGCAGTCAATGGTATTGATTGGAGCTCTCTGCCAACAAACCTTTAACTTCCTCCTCAGCCAAGAAGATCATGAGCATGGTGAATGTTAAGTCTCCTGAACTGCCAAATGCTTCTGAAAACAACAAACCCAAGAGATCCAAACGAAAGCTCTTCAAGACTCAGGTTTCCTCTCCGCTGGACATCCTCACTCATCCTGTAAGTAATGTTTCTTTTCTGTCATGGACACAGTAAATGAAATGCATGTAGTCATGAATGAGAAGCATGCCTTATGTTCGCAGTAATGTAGTAATATTATGTCAACTATGTAACATCTGATTTAAGCCCCCAAGAGACAAAAAAGTTTGATAGTCGATTGTTTTAAAGATTTCCAGTGTTAAAGGGTTGGTTCACCCAAAATGAAAATGATGTCATCACTCATCCTTATGTCGTTCCAAGCCCGTAAGACCTCTGTTCATCTTCGGAACACAGTTTAAAGATTCTCTGAGCGATCCTGGGTGGTGACGTTCGGAATATTTTCAAACAAATCGGAGGCTAGCTAGACCCTCCCTCCTCCGCATCTCATCTCCTCCCCCTCCCTTCCGTCCTTCCTGAAATAATTGTGAAAGTGCATTTCTAGCTAATTATATCCTTGTGTGGGTTTGGCGAACACAATTTAGAAGAAAAAAACAATTTAACGTTACCCACCTGTCCAGCCAAAACAGAGCAACCTGAATGTCGGACTGGAAGCCCTTCTGCCGCCGGAGTTCTCGCCATCGTTCAAAAGATTTGCTACCGATGTAAATTCGGAACTTCGCACGTTCTTTATCCGACTCCTTCTTCTTTTTAATTTGTTCCTCAGAACAACGTCTCTTTGGTCGTGTTTCGGCCATTTTTCAAACTTCCCTCTTATGCTTCTCTCTCCTTCACACACACACCCCCTTCATGTGCACGTGCACTAACCCTTCTAAATACTTCTTGCCAGTGATTGGCTGGAACACTGTTTGTTAGGTTTCGTGGTCCGGGTGAGACATGATTGTTTTTGTTGCCGTTTTTTGGAGCCTGTGGTGTCTACAGAGGCCGCGTTTTTTTACAGTGTGTTTAGGGGACAGGCAGCTAGCCGATAGTGAGGAGACGTTTGATGTATGTGACAAAAAATGTTTTGGCCCCACATCGCTTAGAGAACCTTTAAGATATTTTATATTGAACCACTAGATACACGTCAGCAGCATCACTGAACACGGATTGACAACAGAACCGGAAGACAATAGAATGCTGAATAAAGTCGTAGTTTTTGTTATTTTTGGACCAAAATTAGGGATGCAAATTATCGATTAATTCATTAATCATTAATTGATTGACCTTATCGATCGATTAACTGATAAGCGGCTATTTTCCTGAGAATGTACATTTCTCACTGTATCAATAGTGTCTTCAACATAAAAAGCAAAATATTGCTTATATACTGAATAAAAATGATGCATGTTACATTGCTCAAATTATGTTTTATTGTAACAGTTGGGATATGGTACAGAATGGCATTTATGTAGTTTAACAAAATAAATTATCCACAGAAAATTTAAATACATAAAAAAAATTTGTGCACTGGCTCACCTGTTGCAAACATTAAGCAAGATAAAATAAATGTTAATAAAAATCCATATGGGCAGGCTTAGCCTTAATATATTACATAATAATCTATCTGGTAAACTACTTGTATGAAAAACTTGAAACATTTACAGCAGCAGCACTTATAATCCCCCTCGTTCTAGTAGGATTGTAAAATGTTACAATATTATAAATAATTTAATTAATTGAATTATTTAATAATCAATATACAACATGTCACCAACGCCGCCTCAGATGCGTGCTTGTCAGAATGTGTTGTGGATGCGCACTGAAAACAGCAACCAAACCCAATGAATTCACAACGATTTAATAAAATAGTGTTCTGAATGATGTTATCTAATATGACAGTCACAAATTAATCATCGTTATTATTAGTGCATTGCTGCTTGAGCAGCGCATGCTGAAACCGCTGAGCACTTTCGTTATTTAAATCAAAGAAACACAACCGATATGAGATTAGTCAGATATATACAAAATGAACATAATATTACAAATAATATCTTCAAAATGACGTGAATGCACAAGTTAACTTGAACCAAGTTACGTGCCATTCAGAATGACTGAATGTTGTGCACCCGCTCTTCCTGGAACAACACGACAGGGCAACTAAACCCAAATTATTCACCACGTTTTATTACAATATTGTTCTCTTTATGATGTTATGTAATATGACACTCCCAATTAGAGCCAGACCGATATATCGGCATGCCGATATTATCGGCCGATATTAGGCACTTTCCAAACTATCGGTATCGGCAGTTATAATGGCCGATAAATGAATATTTCAAAAATAAAATAAAAATGGACGAAACACGCTTGAACCATGTCATGAGTGTTGGAGTTGTATAGTTTGTCCACCAGAGGGCACGCTTCACCATTCCTGTTGGCAACACTCGTTGAGTTGGTCACGAGGCATACATTGCTTGAATAACAATTAAAAGAACATCCCCATCAGACTATCATGTCCAGTTTTGCTTCTGTTAAATAAGCCAAGAGTGAAGCAGAATTAGTTTAATAATTACGTTACTTTAAAGTGTAGTTGACTGACTGTCCTTTTAACTTTTGACAATATGACTGAAGTATTTCTTTTCGCGTGACAGTTATAGCAATGAGACGTATCATCTCTCCTTGGCCTGTTATATTTAAAATGTATGTTTTACACTTTGTTGTATGACGTCATCCATTGCTAAATTATGGCTCATCATAGACTAGCTAATCACTAATCACTATCATCAGTCTGTTCTATTGTGACAATAAAAGAAAAAAGTTTCTTTTTAAAATGCATGATCATAATATTTTAGTTAACTCATAAATAACTGCAAATAACTTATGTTAAGGAAATCTGTTAATGTTTTGTTGCGCGTTTCGGAAAAAAAATATCGGCCGATATATCGGATTTTAAAACCCAAAAAATATTTGTATCGGTATCGGCCTTCAAAATCCTTTATCGGTCGGGCTCTACTCCCAATAGTCGTCATTAGTCGTACATTGGCGTTTGAACTGCGCGCGCTAAAGATCACGCTTCAATTCTTAGCTAAATGCATCCAATATGAGATAAATCAGATATAGATGTACACATACTAAACTATTACAACTACATTTGCATAAAACAAAAGGCTGTGAATACACACGCAAACGTAGTCATGACAGGGAACTACACTGCGACCAAAATGGTCACTTATGCGACCTTTTGAAATCCCGTTGCGACCCTAATTTTTAATGGGTCGCAAATGTATCACTGACTATTTTGACGGGTCTGTTTTTTTTTAGTTTCTTTCGGGTTGTATTTAATCTTCTAAAACCTGTCGGATCGTCCGCTTTTTGTCCCGCCAAAGCCTTTTTTGATTGCAGTGAGTGTTGTAGAGTAGAATGACGGATGCGTTTGACAGGGCGCAAACGACCTGAGAGAGAGAGAGAGAGAGCGCGCGCGCCCTGGCCACGCGAGCACTATCACGTCTTCACACAACACAAGCGCTGTCTTGCTCTCTCTCTCTATCGCACGTATATTATTCAAATGACATGATAGTAAAAGGTTTGTGTCTTTATAATAGGCATGCTAATCATAATCATATAGGCTACCATCTGAGGCTGCATGGCGGCAGGTAAAAAACGCAGAGATGTAAGACACCGTGTCTCTTCCTTACACCAAAGGTAGATTTGCGGTCTAGTGTTCGGCTGATAAACTCTGCCATGAGCTAACTCATTATATTGCTAGCGCTGATATTGACATCGACTAACGTTATATGATCACTAGCAGTTTTTTAGACTAACGTTAGTTTTTTCATAATCATAATCGCGTGATTCGCGTCAAGACACCTGATTGGCTAATACTACACACTGAAGATAAATTAAATGTTTTATTAAATAATTACTGAAAATATCCCTCTCTTTATCCCACACCCCAAACATGACATACAAAATGTTGTGGAACAGAAACAACCAGAGATATATTTATAAGCTATCATTTTATTGTCATCACAGCTTTCCAACAGTCCTGCGTATGATTCTACATTGATTAAAAAAGAAAATCAAATGTGTTTTAATGGTAATTATTTTATACGGAAATCATGTATTTAATAAAGTTAGGGTTAGTTAAAATTAAGGAAAACAAATATATTGATCTGAAATATTGCAAATTAATTTTACATTCATTCAAGTACAATATATCAAGGTCATTTGGTCTTTTTATTAATTTAATTAATAAACTAATTATATAAAACTATTGTCAGTGCACTACAAATAAACTGGTTCTATGCCTTTATTAATAAAACTTAAACAAAAATTTAAGTTGTTTTGCTTTTCACTCCATTGTACCGAAATCGTACCGAACCGTCTGAATGTCTGAACCAAGGTATGAACCCGACCCAACTGTGACTTCTGTACCGTTCCACCCCTAATGCAGTACAGTTTCATTATTATTTATTACTACCCAGAGTGCGGCTTACTATAAATAATTTGTGCGACCAAATCATGTTTTGCGCCAGTAACTGAAAAAGTTAGTAGCGCAAGTGCCACCAGTGGAAAAGGTTAGTGTAGTTCCCTGCATGATGAAGTCTCAAACATAACTCCTGCGCACTCGCTTACATGTTTCGCGGTTGAGCAGCAGGCACGCGCATAGACCTGATTAATCGATGATCGATACTTTGATCGATTAATGTATTATCGACAATTAATCGATAATTGATTAATCGTTGACATCCCTAACCAAAATGTATTCTCAAAGCTTCAAAACATTCTAACTAACCCACTGATGTCACATGGACTACTCTGATGATGTCTTTATTTCCTTTCTGGACAAGGACAGTATACCGTTTGCACATGTTCAATGGAGGGACAGAAAGCTCTCGGACTAGATATAAAATATCTTAAACTGTGTTCCGAAGATGATTGAGGTCTTACGGGCTTGGAACGACATGAGGGTGATTCATTAATGACATAATTTTCAGTTTTGGTTGAACTAACCCTTTATTATACTGGGCACTAGATTTATTAAACATTAAAAAGATATGTAATCAATAATTGGTGAAATGTTTCACACTATATTAAAACGTTAACATTATACTTAAAAATATACTTAAAAAATAAACCTCCATTGTGCCACCTTCCATTTGTAATTTCATTTATATTTATCAAGTATTATTCTTCCATGAGTTTAACTATGAGCTTGATTATTTTAAACTTTTTGAGTATTTAAAGCAGTAAGTTCTCAGGCTTTGTTGAATGTTCAGTTTGAGTAGAAGAAATTTGATTAATTATTTCATTTGAGATGTGTTTTTGTGGGATGGAGGTACAGTATTACGTTTGTTTGTAAAAACATAAAACTGCAGAAATGCCAGATGGATGTGTATTAAATTCATGAAATAATTTTACAGGTCAATGGAAGCTGTGAAGATGATAAAGAGAGTGATCATCTCATAATCAAGAGAAAACTCAGAACAAGAACTGCCAAGAGATGACACAAACATACAATTTGATGGTGTAATTTCAGTTAGTTTGCTTTTTCTTTTTTTCTTCAAATTGTCATATTTTGTTTGTTTAATACGTAAATGTTGTTGAATAATTCATAATTGTTTTATTAACACTGGGCATGTTTGTAAATATTTTATTTTTATTTTATTTTTTTTAATTTAGCCTTCGATTTCTTGTGGTAATTAGACAAAATATGGCCAAAAATGCTGTTTATTAAAAAAAAAAAAAACCTAAAAGCATATATCATTTGGGTTCCACTTTGTATGCTTAAAGGAGCTAAACGCAAGTCTCTGAGTTTTTGCAGAACTACGCCCCCTCTGGCGACAAGCGAAACTGCAACCAGAGCTGTGCGCGTTCATGGAGGAACACACACACACATACGCACGTTTGCACGAGCTGTTCATAACTAAGGAGCATCAGCCGCACACTGTGCGGCACACATCTTTTGTTACAGTCATAATGAGGTAATACAGTAATAAATCTGCAAGTCACTTAAAATATATGAAAGGAAAGGCATTCGAGTAAATTACACACTTGTGTGAGAGGGGGAAACGGGGGTAGTAGAAAACTTCGGTTTTTGTTTCCATCTATCTCCCTGTGCTTACTGTATCCACTTATGATTGAATTATTATGGAAACACGTTCAGTTATCACTTTGTATAGGCTATGACCCGTTTGAGCCCTAGAGACGACCGGAGATCTCTCCGTTTGTTGAAAGCTTCCCGATGTTGACTCTCGTCTTATTCCGACGCATGGCACTGGACAGACAGAAGTTTTATTTTCTGTCTCACGTGGAGTTTGCGTTGGGGTTTGTAATGAGTTACAAGCCGGTCTCTTTCCGCGCCATATACAGATTTAATGAAGTGCACGTCACCGAAAGCAACAGATATGAGCTGGATTTTATTAATCATCGGCTAATTTCAAAATCAGCAAAGACAGCAATAAGAGAGATCGGCAACAGAACTGGTAAGATCATTTCATTTCTTTACTTTTAATGAAGATGGTAGTGTTAAGCGTCTGCGACTTACTTTCACTAATTCACTTTGATTTGCGATAGATTGCGGCGCTTGATGAAGGGGCTCAGCTCAGCTGCTCAGGTGATGCGCGTCGTCATATATGACTAAAATATCATGACATATAGCTTGGTTTCAACAACCAGATGCATTTACACTTGTCCAGTTTCGTCTGGAATACGGCACAGACCACGTCCTCAAGTGGTTTGAGCGATCGAATTCAAATCCGTCTCGAATGCGTTTCGGAGGGCATTTACACCCTGGTCTTTTCACGATCGAATAGCTATCCGATCACAGAAGACACATGAAGTGACCAGGTGTAAACAGCCCCTTTGAATCCATCGTCTACTTTTGTGGAAAGCTGACTAGAGTTGTGTCGCTCGAGTTGTCTTCTCTGATACGGAGAACGGCGGCGAATAGCTACACGAACCTGCCAGACATAGCCAGGCGAGCGTGAACGCGCATGACGTCACGCCCAGTCTCAGATTCGAGCCCGAATCCCTCTTATATATTTCACTGTACAGGGTTATAGAGGCGATCGCAGTGATCAAAGAAGGGCTCATTCAGCCCATCAGGCGATTGTTTAAGCATGTATGGGTTAGAAAACGGCTATTTTTAACATGAAAAGTTGCGCAATGCACCTTTAAGAGAGAAATATTAACTGCATTACTGTCCCTTTATGTTGGATTTCACATCATGATATCCTTTGGTACTGCTTTCCTCATCTGAGCATTTTTAAACAGGCAAGGTGAATGGGGATGAAGAGAATGTTCCAAATTAATGTTTGGGGGTCAATTTGTTGTATGATACTCATTTATTTCCACTGTCAGTAAATGGAGGGTGGCTGTCATCAGAGAAGAGTAAGTAATACATTGTATCTGCACCTTATGATCTCTGCACTAACAGGTCAAACCTGCACTAATACACATCTCACTTCTCACACTAATACACAATTTCACCAAGGTGAAAGTAATGTAACATTGAAAACAAACATTTTTGTGGGTGTGTGCTTGCATGTCATCATAGTAGCAAATTTCAATTTGCTTCGTAGCATTGGGTTATAAAAGTGTGCTGTCCTTAAAGCTGCAGTAGGGAGTTTTGAGAAAACGTTGACTTAGTCTGAAAATTTGAACAAGCACAACTTACAGGTCCCACCCCCTTGGACTCTGCTGCTCTACAGCCCTCCCTCCACAGCTCGTACCCACAGCAGTGCCGGCCGTGAACGCGTAGGCTAGTAAACAGGGCCACTGATGACGGCGGATAAAAAGTTATATGGCACAATCACTAATAGGGACTAAACGTCAACAATATGCTTTACATTGACTATGGCCTGCCCATACTTTGACTACAAACTTGGTCCTCAAATCCTTATGTATTTTCCAATACATGTAACTTTATGTTGCACTCTTTCTATAAGTTATAAATAGCTAGTAAGATAACGTTAATATAACGGTAACTACAGTATGTAAGTAATTATTCTAGTGATATGTAATGCTAGATAAGGTGAGCTAGTACATTATTTCAGCAACATGACAAGCCAGTGAATTAGCAGGTTTCAATTGTTGCTTAGCAGAGGGCGTGACATTTTATCAACATGTCATGCGGCTACAATGGGCTGACTGACAAGACAAGATTGTTTATCGTCATCTGTCTTTTTCCCTTTACCTCTTTGTTTTATGAGCAGGTGTCCCTCGAGAATTGGCAGTTTACGGTATTCTCCGTCATGAGCACAGGACTTTTAGCTCGCCGGCAATCATGAGTTTGAACGACGGCACACGCTCGCGCTGTGCAAGAGAGGGGAGTGATCAGCGCGTACACGATTGACACTGCTAAGACTCTTGGCTCTGATTGGTTGTTTCTGACGGGAGCATTGTATTTCTGCAAATTGGCAATAGAGCATCACAGTCCCGCCCAAAGCCCGAGAGAGCGCTGGTGCCGGAATTTCCCATTCATTTCTCCCATTGACATTTTGTAAAATCCATATCTAAAGAGTACTAGAGCATGTCTGAGGATAATCAGCTACGGCTAAACTCATAAGCATACAACACTTCATTTCGAGTGAAAAAACGAAGAGAAAATCCAAAAAAAAGTCGAGGGTACAAGCCTGTGTACATATTTTCATTTCCGAGCAAAGGAACTACTCCCATAAACCACCGCGCCTCAGTGAAGTCTGAAAGCCACCGTGAAAGAGCCTTTTGAGTGACTTCCAAATCTGACGACGGGCACGTGAACTTTTTCCTCCAGTGAATTTTATATAGTGAATGTGCAAGGAAACTAATTTTCCTCGATTTACTGAAGCAAACGCATTTGCAGCTCGACATGCAAAAACATTGAGTATCTGGCTCGCTCATTAGCTAAGCTGTGGCAACTGCACATCCAATGGCGCGCGGGCGTCTTCACGTACCTTCGCGGGGTTTCAGACACGTGACACGACTTCCACCAATCGGATGCATCACTGTTGGATTGTGGGATTGTTCTGGATTGTGGGTAATGAAGTACATATCCAATACATCGTGAATAAAAGGCATTTATCTTAAAACAAGGTAAGTGCCCCATGAACTTTTGGCGTTTATATGAGCATATACAATCGTTTAGTACTGTACAGCCGTAGCTGGTTTTAAGTCTACCATTTATGGTTACGTTTTTATGGCTTATATCTCAAATGTCAATGGAGAAATTGTATTGAATTTTTACTTCTGGCACCGGCTGTGGGCGGGACTGTGATGCTCTATAGGACCACTGGGAAGAGCCAGAGGAGCTTGATTTTTTTCACAGATTATCTGTCTCATATTCTACTGTCAGGACATAATGACAGTTTTAACAAATATGTAAAAAATATTTTTTACAAAAGTTTACTTCAGCAGCTTTAATGCATGTGAGAACATTTTGTTTAAAGTCCGCATGAAACGGAAGTTGCGAATCTGGAATCACGCATTTGAAATTACAGTAATTTACAGGAGGTGGCGGTATGTACCTAAAAATATGGTATACATCCCGCCAATAAATCCACAGAAGAAGAAGAATTTGACACATCTGAAGCACGTGCCTAGAAAGCAGCGGCTGCCAGCACATGAATCAGTAGCCACTCATGACCGTAAATTTAGGTTGGGCGAATTCTGGGCCTTAGCGCTATTATGATGAACATTTTTCCTAAGCTTTACATTCTATAGAACACATGCAGAACATTGCGTTATTGAAGGCAGTCCCTCCAGGATTTCGCGATGTCGCGATCGCAACTATTAACGCAACTTCAACAAATCCACGTGAATTCAGTGCGCCTTGCAATTTTGAAAAATCACTGCATTTTTTCTGCAACTTTGACGAATCATCGCGCCGCGGTCTCCTGCAAAGCGTCGTCATACGTCAGCAAACTCACTTGTTTTGTTCAGAAGACGCAGCAGATGTGGACTGCCAACGTCTCACATTTAGGCTACCTACAAAAATAACAGAAAAGGCCAATGTTGCCAACTTAGTCTTTGTCGCTATATTTAGTGATATAAAAAAGCGACTAGAGACAAATCTAGCGGCTTTTTGGACAAACCTCAGTAACCAAATGTTGCCAGCGAGCGCAAGGTTTGCTTTCTCCCTGCCGTCACATCTCTCTCTGCGTCCCTGTTCAGTGAACGGCTGCAGTAGAGGAGCAGCACGGCAGCTGAGGCCATCCTTAAAAATATTTTGGTTTGCAGTAACAGCAATTTTTTTTTTTAAAAAGGGTCGGTAGGTAGGTCTATATTTTTTTTTTCCAAGATTCAGTGTAAAAAAAAAAAGGTAAAATTTTGGAGATGGTGATCGTGAATTTAAAAAAAAAAATGCATATTGTGACGTCACTGACTGGGTCTACAAACTGTGCATCGGCCGCTAGGTGTTAATGCAAAATACGACCAGTTACATTTTAGGCTAGTCACAAAATGTATAAAATATCTATTTGTTATGCATATCTACATGATATAAGCAAAAACAAGTACAAACACATGGTCAAACAAAGAATATAATTAAACAAAGATACAAATTAGCCTATATACACAGTGCTTTAATTTCAGGAAGGTCTAAAATTAGTTAAGTCTGTCGCTCTGTCTGAAAAGAAATTTAATTTAGCTAGTAATCAAATGTAAAATGACACTGCATAGTTTATCATAGTTAGATTAATGCTTATTAAAGTTTAAGTTATTCATTCAAGAGCTGCCTGTGAGTGATTTTT